GGATATTCTTTCCTGCTTTGTCAAAGATCAGTTGGCTGTATACTTTTGGGTCCACTTCTGAGTTCTCAATTCTGTTCCATTGGTCTATGTGTCTGTTTTTGTGCCAATACCATACTGTCTTGATGATGACAGCTTTGTAGTAGAGGCTGAGGTCTGGGATGGTGATACCTCCCGTTTTGGTTTTATTTTTCAGGATTACTTTGGCTATTCGGGGTCTTTTATGGTTCCGTACAAATTTTTGGATAGTTTGTTCTAGTTTTGAGAAGTATGCTGGTGCAATTTTGATTGGAATTACATCTTGCTAATTTTTTTATACCGATTTAGTTCCTGACTTCAGGGCCAGTTTTATGCAGTTGAACAAACCTCTTTTTTCTTGCATATTTTCTCATTTTTTTTTTCTTGCTGTAAACATGTTCCATTTATCAGTCAGTCATGCAACCAGTATTTATGACATACTTGTTATGTAAAAGTCACTTTTCTCTTATTAACTTAAAATTTTTAAGTGTGTAATATCTGTTTTGGATTTCATTTATTCGGATAGTAAACAATTTCAGTCACCTATTGTATGCAAGGTACCATGGTTATATAGAAATGGCTCCTCTTCTCACGAAACCTTCATATTATTCTGGGAGATGATATAGAAGCAACCTCAACAATAAAATTGTGGGTATAGAGAGGAGAGATAAAGTATTTACAGAGAGGGGATCATGTATGAGTTGTCTTAAATGAATGGAGACTTTAGTGTGAAATGCACTTCCAGTGATGCAAGATTCTGATTTTTATTTAGAGATATTTAGGAGTAGTATTAGGACACTACTTTGGAAGGAGATTTGTCTATTGTTGTGTAACAAATTCAGTAGGTAGTAGAAGTCCCTATTCTGTTGATTAGAAATGAATCACTAATGGAGTACCTGAGGTGCTCAGTTGATTACGTCCATCTTTGGCTCAGGTTATGATCTAATCGTTCATGGGTTGGAGCCCCATGTCAGGCTCTGTGCTGATAGCTCAGAGCCAGGAACCAATTTTGGATTCTATGTCTCCCTCACTCTCTGCCTCTTCCACTTGCAGTCTGTCTCTGTCTTTCAAAAATAAATAAACATTAAAAAAATAAAAAATAAATGAATCACCAAGTCCAACCTACATACAAACTGAGGGGAATCAGGCTCTACCTTTTATTTATTTATTTATTTATTTACTTATTTATTTGTTTGTTTTTATTTGTGTGTGTGTGAGAGAGAGAGAGCGAGCGAGGTGGGGGGAGAGGGAGAGGGAGAGGGAGACACAGAATCTGAAGCAGTCTCCAGGCTCTGAGCTAGCTGTCAGCACAGAGCCTGATGTGGGACTCAAACCCATGAACTGTGAGATCATGACCTGAGCTGAAGTTGGACACCCAACTGACTGAGCCACCCAGGCACCCCCAGGCTCTACCTTTTAGAGAGAAGTGTTAAAGAGTTTGCAGACATGCTTTTTTCTTTTTTAATGTTTATTTATTTTGAAGAGAGAGAGAGAGAGAGTACTTATGCATGCACACACAAGCAGGGGAGGAGCATAGAGAGGAAAGAGAGAATCTCAAGCAGGCTTTGCACTGTCAGCCAAGAGTGGATGCAAGGCTCCACCCCAAGAATCATGAGATCATGACCTGAGCTGAAATCAAGAATTGGACACTTAACCAACTGAACCACCTAGGCGTCCCTGCAGATATGTTTTTAAACCACCATACTCAGCCCTCCAGCCAAAAATTGATTACCTTCTTCCCACATGCAACACATACTCAGTCATTTTCAGATCCTTGCCACAAAGACTCATCCTTTACAGCATCAGCTTAGAGTCTAGGGTCCCATCATCTATGTTATATTCAGGTGTAGGTGAGGCTCCTCTGGTGTAGTTCCTTATGTACATTTCCTCAAGTATAGTTGTTCTTGACCTATGAAGACTTATGAACCAAAGAGACATGTTAAATGCTCCACAAGTGGTGAACACACAATGATGGGGCAGGCACAGAATAAGTGCAATAAATACTCCTGTTGAGAAAGGGCAAAAACAGGAGGCTTACAAGGAGCCATAGATCCATAGAAATTCCTTATTATAGCAGAGCACTAGTTGGTAGTTCCTTGACTTGAGAATCAAGACCTGGGAGTAACTTTCTATACCTCTTGTCCTGGACCCTGGTCTCTTGGTTTCACCTTATTATTTTAATGTTTTATTTATTTCTGAGGGAGAGAGACAGAGAGAGAGAGAGAAAGAGAGAGAGCCAGTGCGTTAGCAGCGGACGATCAGAGAGAGGGAGACACAGAATCTGAAACAGCCTTCAGGCTCTGAGCTAGCTGTCAGCACAGAGCCCGACGCGGGGCTTGAACCCACAAACCGTGAGATCATGACCTGAGCCGAAGTCAGACACTTAACCGACTGAGCCACCCAGGTGCCCCTTGGTTTTACCTTCTGAGTCAGGTTCCTTTTTTCATGAAAAGTAGCCTATGCTTGTTGACAAGTAATCTTATAAGCCTGTTTCATGCAAGAAATTTGAGAATCCAAAGGTCTTTTTAAAATTTTGTACTATATTGTTCCTTTCAGCCCATGCTGGTGATATTTCTGCCATATGATTCTTTTTAAAACTTGTGGGTCTCCTATGATTCTTATTGAGGGTTCATGCTATTGACAAAGGCACACCTATGAATATTTTTGAGATATGCCCTTTGCTACTTAGGCTTCTGCTGAGACTGCTGAGAGAGCAGACCTCACGCTTCTTAGAAGTCTTGTTTTTTAGCTAAAAGTTTCTTTGAAGCTCCTCCCTACATCTTGAGGTTTAGTCAAAGGATTTTATAACCACTCCCTCACCATCATCTTTATCAGTTTTTAATGTAGTGCGCTGTGTTTGATTTCCTATGTAGGGACATTTCTTTAACTTTAGTACAGTTTGCCATCTGGATAGGTTGGGAATTTTCAAAACTTTCTCTCTCTTCTCTCACATTTGATTATAATCAGTCAAAAAACAAACAAACAAACAGGTGGCACCTTAAAAACTATTTCTGGAGATCACCTTAGCTAGATAATTCAGTTCATTAGCACATTTTCTTTTTTTCTTTTTTTTTTTTTTTAATAAATGA